AGACCGATCTTGTCGGTTACAATAACCCGTTGTACAAGCAAAATGTACGAAAAACAAATACATATCTGAATTTTACATACCTTGAAGATCACACACCAAACACAAGTTATTCACTTTTAAACAATAAACAATTTTCCGCAGCGATCGCGTGTAAAGTACCTTCAACTGAAAGCTTCAAGTTTAAACTGATGTACAAGACAAAATATACGTATTTTATATAATTTTTTTTCAATGCAGGATGGAGACAGGTATTAACTGCCAATCTAACTCAAAATTTACCTGAAAAAATATGTCAATTTTTGAGGTTTTGCCGATATTTTCGAGAATTGAAACACTGTGCGTTGTAGGAAAGAGTCTAGGATGTATTTTATTAAACACACGGTGTTTAATAAACGGGCGTTATTAGGTATTCGGCTATTGTCTTTGCACATAGCCCACTATTATAGTAATCTCTTTACATATATCCTTATTCTTTTTACAATTCTTTATGTGGTAAACTTTGTGGTAAATTTCCATGAACAAAACTATAATGGGGGGTGCATTCTCAAGTCAAAACCCTAAACGGGACTAAGGTCAGCTTAAGGAGTGGTGCCTACCTAAATCCGACATTTCTATTTATTTGATTTATATTGATTTATTTAGCTGTAATATGAATGATACAAAAGTTGCTTTGCGTTATGGAAGTGAATTGAAAGTGGGGTTTGATTTATTAGATTGACGGTTTGCTAACTTATGAAATATAGTGTATATTCACTTGTAAATATTATCTTAGAGCATACATGTTTGGGATTTGATTACTTTTTATGTACCTTAGAGCATACAAATTTTGGGATGGTAAGGGTGTTATTTTTTTATTATTCCTAACTTTACCTTTACTTAACTTGGGGAAACAAACCCTAAAGAATAAACCACAACATTTGTACCCAAAAAAATAACTAACTAAGGAGAGCAAAAATTAAATAGCAAACAACATTCCAAAACTCAAAAACAATAAATAAAACTTGAAAAAACTACATTGTTCATTGCAATAGCTTATTTTGTTTTATTACTTAATCTGTTCTTCTCTCATTGGAACTCCACCTATTTAGAAGCGAACTTAAAATTACACAACGTAGGGTATTCTTTTCGATTAACTAGATGATCACCTTTTGGCTAAACTTGACAACACTGCTTGCGCTGTCGAGATATAAATTAAGTTCGCGCGATTATTCAAATCGCCTTGGGTTACTGCCGTTTTTCATGAGTATGGGGACCCCCACCCCCTGCCCATCACACCAGTAATGTTTAAAGAAACTTTATAGCCAGCCGGATAATATATTCTTTTATTATTTCCCATATAAAATTTTATTTGAAAGTTATCTTTGCGACGCATTATAAATATTTAATTTACACTTAAAGTAAGGTGTTTTAGGGACTCCCTACAACTAAAAAGGTTCTAAATTTATTATAAAAAGGTATATTTTCCAATATTTTTTCCAATTACTAGTACTAATACTAAATTATTTTAAGTGGCCGTAATGCTGTCCCAAAATAGTAAAAAAAATGCTTGCTTGCTTGTATAAGCTTGTTAAATTTGCTGGTAATGTTAATATTTCGTAAAAAACAGCTTGCATTGCAGTCAATATTTTGGACCTGAAACGTTACAGCTCGAGTTGTTGAATCTTAAAAAAACATCTTATTGTGCATATGTAAAAAACAACAAATTTTAAGACGCTCATTTGGCAATGTTAATTTTACAATTTATATATTATATAAATATTAATATACTTATAATACAATACAAGAATAAAAATATCTGCTTTATATTTAGGTATATATTAGGGTGGTCGTTAAAAATTAAATTTTTTGCGACGCCCCCTAAAAAGCTTAATTTTGATGAAAAAACACTGGGAATTTTATTTTTATAATTAAAAACAACACGTGCCTCAAGACGATCTAAGTTAATTTTTTGGTATAATCATGTTTTTTTGGGATTTTTTTATAAAAAATAAAATTTTATTCGAAATATTAACAATTATACAACCCAAATCAATAAAAAAAATAGTTAATCGAAATAACAATAGACAAAAATTTAAATTCAAAATTTCTCCCAGTTGATTTGGTCTATTAAATAAAAAAATGATTTTTAAATTGATATTTTTATTTTTAAACTAAATTAGTACAAACGTAATTTTAATATCTAGATTTCTTCACTCCAAGGTGAAGTTATTTCATTGTTAATAATTTTTAAATCTCAAAAAAATTATTATTCCATATTTTCAAGAAAGACATGATTATACCAAAAAATTAACTTAGATCGTCTTGAGGCACGTCGTCACCCAAGGTTGTATGTTAAAAAAGACAAAAAATTTAAGTCCATGTTTCTACAGGATTATACGTGGCCTACTCTTCACATACCACTTAAAAATAATTCTATAGAATGTATATTCTATGTATACAGAGTTATTTTCAAGTTGAATGTCAAGGGTGGATTACATAAAACCTTGTAGAAGCATAAACTCAAATTTTTTAACATACAACCTTGTTATATTAGGGTGACGACGTGTTGTTTTTAATTAAAAAAAAATTCCTGTGTTTTTTCATCAAAACAAAGCTTTTTAGGGGGCGTCGCACAAAATTTAATTTTTAACGACCACCCTAGTATATGTATATACAGGGTGATTCCTTTAACTTGAAATTTTGAAATATCTCAGTTAGTATGCATTTTACGAAAACAATTTTAAAATAAAAATTAAATGATTCGAGGGGGGAAATCAATCAATACTAAAATTGGTCCTCATACTCTCCTCCTTATAGGGGAAACAGGGGGTTTCCAATGGAACACCCTTGTTTTATTGCAGATTCAGATCATTCGACTAAAAATAGGTAGATTACGTCCTTGCTAATAAAGTTTGTTGATAGTTTGGTGAATCTTTTCATAATTGGTAAGATATTATAAGTAGCATAAAAAATGTCGTTGGGAGGGTTGTGCAGTGAGTTGTGTGGATTGTGTGGATTATGGAGATTTTTCGGGTGCAAACTTGATATAAAATATCTAATAATTATTATTACTAAAATACTCTATAAAGTTTGCATACATTTTTTCAAGATTGCGTATTTTCTTTTAAGTAATAATAATTTTTAATAAGTTTACAATAATTTGGTGAACGGAAAAGGGTGCAAAACCGGATTTATCATTCTTATATCTACTCCAATGTTATCTTAAAATTTGAAAACTTTCGCACTTTATTAGACCTTTTAACAATTAATTTTTTTTTTTAATTTCAATTAACATAATATAAAAATAACATGTTTGTACGGGGGTTACCAAACTTGGGGGGTTAAAAGATCATATGATCCCATGACCTCATTTCAAATTTCAAGGTTATATTTTAAAAAATGCCTGTATTTAATCGCCCATAATAGGTAAAAAATAAAATAATATTAAGTAATAAAAAAAATATTTTTGACCTCTGACCCCATACGGAAGTGTAACTGAGGGTCACCAAACTTGGGGAATCGAAAGATTACATGATTTTATGACCTTACAAATTTTAACGTTATAAGTAAAAAAAATACCTACCCTAACCTAAAAGCGCTCTGGCTATAAAAAATCAGCAATACTCATGTCTGGCATAGATATATTCACACTTCTGACATACAACAGAATAATTTAACCAAGAGTCAGACACGAGCAAATAACTTAATATTATTTTTTTTTACAATTTTGAAAATTCTTCGTTCATTATCGCAGTAAACATTAAATGGCAGACTTTTATTTTTTGCTTTTTTATGACCCAATTAACATTTTGTATAAATTTTATTGACGAGCATAATTTGTTGTATCATAATAGGCATCCCGATTGGTTGTATTATAATAGGCATTGTCGCATTCGCATTCGCGAATGTGTGAAAATTGACATTCGTTACATCACTAATAGATACGAATACCTATTCGCATTCAAATAATTGATGAGAATGTATTGCGAATGTTAAAAAAAAGCAAATATTTACTTTACTACAAGAATAACAATATCTGGTTTATAATTATATAAATTACTTGTAAATTTTACTTATAGGTTAACTCATTTAGCAAAACTAAACACTTTTTAGTTTTGAAACACTTAAATTGACAAAAATAAAGTAAATAATTAGTTATTTAGCGTGTTAGCACGTATGTGCATTTACTTGCCGCCATTAACTACACGATTTTCTGCGCCCATGATAGGCAACCAAGAGTTTGTGTATCATTATAGGCAATGCCTATTATAATACAACCAATCGAATTGCCTATTATGGGCTCATGAAATGGCGGCAAGTTTAAAAAGATGACATTCGCATTCGTGAAGATGAATGACGAGTATTCGCATTCGCGAATGTGTTAAAATCGACATTCGTTACATCACTAAACGATACCCATCTTGGCGTGTTAATTTTCCAATTAAAAAGTGTTTTGTTCTTACTAGGTTTTACTAATGGAAATGGGAATGGAACATAAAAGGAATGAAAAATAAATATTTACGGAATGAGAAGGAAGCGGGACAAAAACGAGACAAATCACAGACATTTCAATTTTATTTATATGTATGGATGAACCACGAAAACAAAGTCCTGGATATTCAGCGAGTTGTAAATAAATTGTGATTTAGATTAAAGTGTATTAATAAAATAAATGAGTTAATGAAATACTAAGTAATTAATCTTAAAGAAGCTACTGAAGAATTATATTTTAAAAGGAGTTCAAGTATGTTTAGCTATAAATCTTTTATTCATTTAATAAAGTATTTTGATACTCTTATGTATTTAATCCCTAAAAACTGTAAGAGAGAGAGAGGAAATGTTTAAATTAGGATGGAGCCGAGAGCTATTTGAAATCGATGATTTAATCCCTGTCTCTCCTTCAAACTCAAATTGCCCCTTCATCATTTATGGGCCCACACGTTTTATTTGCAGTATTGGTTTATCATAGAGTATCAAAAATTTAGATAAATAACACTAACTTTTCTTAAAAAATTAATTACCTGAAATGCATAATGCAGATGAGTTATCCATCTTCTGTCACCATAGACTAAAACGTCCCTTTCCTCTTTAAAACAGGCTGTTTCAGCTCTTTTAAGCATTTCCCATTTATTCAGTATTTTCATGGCAAAGACTTTTTCAGATCCTTTTAGGTTTACTACACATACTTCTCCAAATGCTCCTCTACCAATAACTTTGATTATATCAAAGTCATCTTTGGTTAAACGTAAGGTCTTTACTGTACTTGCTACAGGTTTTACTAAAAATAAAATAAATTTTTTAATGAGAAAATCCCTCTAACGACTAAAAATTTATTTTGATAAAAGAAGATATGTCCCATAGATTTAAACAATAAAACAAAGCTCTATGTTTAAAGGGCTCCGTGCATGTCACTTTAAATCGCTTTTTCTAGCTAAACAGTTTTTGGTCGTAAGGGAGATTTTTTTATTTAACAATACAATAAACAAATATCTTTTGGTGTATGAATTTTTTACCCTTGCATTTTTTTGCTGCTTTAGTATAAGCTATAGCTTCTTAGATAAGTATATGAAACACCTTCTGTGGTTTACTTTGTAAAATGGTTTATCATTAAAAAATACGAATGTTTTTTTAGTAGATTGTATGCATGTCATCAGCGAATTTAATATTTAAGTTTATTTACGGTAAAAATTAGAGTACCAAATTTAAATATATTTTTATTAAAGTTGAAATTTAACAGGATTTGAAAATCATTAACCAATAATACGCTATTTCTAAATTATAGTGAATGCTGCTTAAGAAAAACCCTATTTAAGATTTCCAGTTCCAGTTGCCTAACTGTATATGTTAGTTATACAGGGTTTTCATTTTAAAACGAACCACCTTAAATATCTTTTAAATTAAAAGAATTTAAAAAAATCCAAAAAATACGTCGAGTTATATAAGAAGGGCGAACTTCTATCACATTATTTAATTTAATCTAGTGCTCACCCCCTCGCGCCCACCCACCCCCACTTTAAAATTTCAAATGGCACGCCCCTACAAGTGACACCTCATTTTGAAGAGCATAAAATTCTCTATCCAATGGTGTGAAAAAATAGTAAATCGGATGGCTATTTAAGGATCTGGAAGATAAAATGTGTGCTGATAAGATAAAATAATAAGGTAAAAACAATATTGTTTTTAGGTATCTTTTTGTGCAAAAGGTAATAAAAATGTCCTTAAAAACATTTAAACTGGCACTTTTATCATTAATTCATTTTCTACATTGCTCCTAGTAAGTTTAAAATTAAGACATTAAAATGGGATACACATGTGTAGAGTGTAGAAGTATTTCGTCTCAAATTTTAGCCCGTGTCCGCGAAGAATTTCAAGATCGACTTTACTATTGCCTAGCGAAAAACGGCGAACATTTCGAACAATTTATAAAGTAAAAAATTTATTCAATTTAAAAATAAAAATATACAAACCTTTTTACTTTTTTCTATTTACAGCACACATTTTATCTTCCAGATCCTTAAATAGCCATCAGATTTACTATTTTTTCACACCATTGGATAGAGAATTTTATGCTCTTCAAAATGAGGTGTCACTTGTAGGGGGGTGCCATTTGAAATTTTAAAGTGGGGGTGGGTGGGCGCGAGGGGGTGAGCACTAGATTAAATTAAATAATGTGATAGAAGTTCCCCCTTCTTATATAACTCGACGTATTTTTTGGATTTTTTAAAATTCTTTTAATTTAAAAGATATTTAAGGTGGTTCGTTTTAAAATGAAAACCCTGTATATAAATCGTGTGAAACGCGATATAAAATTATTAAAATATAACTAACTGACTTTTTTAAGTATTATAAAAGAAACGTTTTTTATAGTTGTATATTATTTGTTAGATGCGAAACGAAGCAGGGTGTAAATCTTGGTTGCCTATGAGCAATATATGTAAATATTAATATATATTCCCTCCTCGTCTTCACAAAATGTCAGTAAGTTAGTTGCATTGCAGATAGTTTAGTTTTGTTATTCTAGACATGACCGGTTAGATTATGTTATGTTCTTACTTGTGTGGTAATAAAGAGTTATGTTTGACATTAATTTTTTAAGAACCTGGCCGTTTGGGGAAAACAGGTAGGTTTTTTGTAGGCGGAACATAATGGCGACCGTGGCAGGACTATTTTTACAGTTAGTGCGTCGTACGGTTCCGTGAGTAAGTGCTAGACAAGTTTAGACGGCTTTTGTTTTACTGTTTTAATGAAAGTATAGTTGTCGCGGCGAATGTTTCAAATTGCGTCATCAAATTCTGAACCAAGCACAGACATTACAATTATCGTTGTTTTCTTTCGGAACTAATCATCCACCTCGGAGATGACAGTTTCGACGAGTATGAATTTTGAGAAAATTCACACCTTTATTCTATAAATAAATATGTTTTTCCACTTAAATCGTTTCTGTTAATAAATTGTCCCCACTTGGTTACGGATTACAGTGATCGGGACAGTTGCATACGGTGCTTTGTCAGGAAAATGTGTTCCTTAACAATTGTATAACATTAATACAGGTAAAATCTAAAAACCAGAGGCATTTCTTTTAAAAAACTAATGCAAAGTTTGCTTACTCGAAATGTCGTTTGATAATCAGGCCACCCACAATGCACGCTCGGTACCCTTGAAAATAGGTGCGTTCTTTTCGCCTGAGATCTCAGTTAATCTCCGCTCACATCGGTAAAATTTGCGCGTTCTTTTTGCTTCACTTACCATAAAGTGAGCTGAGATTTGTCCTCCCCCCTCACCGATACTGCTCATGCTGTGCGGGGGAATCAGTTTGAATTAAGTCGGAAATAAAGTGGAGGGGATAAAGAAATGATTGATTTGTTAAGTTTTTAAATAATATAACCTAATATTATTTAGGTGATTTTTTGCAATAAAACTTAAATTTACATAAAAAAAATTTTGTAAATTAGCTATAAACTTGATATAATAAATAAAATTCGTATAAAATTGTTTTTCAGAGCACGTTTTAAAATAAAATTAAACAAAACATGTCAAAGTAAAGTTTTTTTTTAAGTTTTATTTTATATCATTTTATCACATTCATCGTCTTTATCAAATAAAACCTTTATTATTATTTTTGTATTATCCATAATTCAACGCAAATTTAAACATAGAAAACCACCAAATTTAAACCAATAAGGATATGACACAGAACATAATGATATCAGAGATAGGTTATGTTGCCTCTTATTCACGTATACGCCGTCAGATTGCGCGTTTCAATTAAGTGTGTCGTTCTTTTTAATGCTTACTCACATCACTACATCTCATATCACATTAACTGAAGTAAGCTGAGATCTCACATTCGCGTGTTGACCATCGTATCGGCAACACGCTCTGTAATCGTGTAGTCAAATTTTCTATAGTCGTTCTTATCTTTAAACTAAAGTTATTTTGTTCGTGTTACTAACAAATCCTTTGTAATTTTACCCTGTCTATTTATATTAAACGGTAAGCAAACTTATTTTTCATGCAAAATGAATAATTTTGAAGATGGCGAGAGCGCCAAAAAAGTAGCCGAAAAAAACAAGGAAAAAACAATCTGCTACTACAAAGAGGGACATTTCGCGCCTTATGAGGTATGGTTAGAATCAAAAAACGAATTAAACGTAGGAAAATACATTCCGCTAGCACTTGTAAGGAAAATATATAATTTAAAAATTGGTGAAATTACAAAAATTCAACCGAAAGGTGCTAATCGAGTAAGTATTCAATTTGATAATTACTTAGCTGCTAATAAATTTGTAGACCACACAGACATAAAAAAAGTGTTAAATGCTTACATTCCTTATAATAGAATATCATGTAAGGGTGTAGCAATCAACATTGATTGTAACATCCCTTTAAATGAAATTGAGGATGCAATCTCGAAATAAATGAAAAAAGTTAAAAAACAAAATGTGCCATCTACCACTATATTATTAATATTTGAAGGTACCATCCTTCCCCGTAACGTAAATATTTTTAATTACCCAATCAGAATCAACCCCTATATCGCCCCAGTCACCCAATGTTTTAATTGTTTATTCTTTGGTCACACCAAAAATAATTGTAGTAAAATGCCCTAAAACCTACTTACCCAACCCACCTTTCACACCACATCCTAGTGATTTTCCGGCCCCCAGACTAAGAACACAAACCACTCCATCCAACTCCAACAACTTCGCAACACCCCCCACAAAAAAAAGAAAACAATCATCTGCCAGTATAGACACTCTATCACCCATAGTTAACTTAATCCCAACACAAGTATCCCACACCGGGGCTATCTCACCTAATTCAAAAGACTCAAACCCCATACAAATATCCCACCCTGAGAACATCTCAGATTTTGAATTATTTGAATCGCAACATCTCACACAATTAAAACTAATACAAAATAAGATTACGAATTACTCAACTGAGTCACCAGGGTCTAACTAAGACGAAAACTTTTAATAACTATGTCACTTAAAATCCTACAATGGAACATCAGGAGTGTTCACTCCAATAAACATAATTTAGTGGATGTTGTGGGAGCTTACTCACCAGATGTTATTATACTAAATGAAACTTGGTTAAAACCTAACTACTCTTTCAATCTTATGGGTTTTGAAATCTTAAGAAATGACAGGGCAGATGGATATGGAGGAGTGGACATTTTAGTTAAAAGTGGCTATAACTTTATATGCGATAATGCCAAAGTAACCTAGGAAAAAGATAAAATTCAACAAATAAAAATAAAAATTAACAACATTAACATTATAGGTATTTACTGCCCACCAAAAACTAACTTAACTAGACTTTTTTTTCACAACCTATTAAATAATCTTAAAGGACACATTTTAGTGATGGGGGACTTTAATGTCCAACATAACATTCTCAATGATGGCTCCAACACAAGATTTCAAAACCCAAACACACAAAATAATCCCTTAGACCTTTCCTTAATTACACCTGGTCTTGCAGTTAAAACAACATGGGATCGTTTGCCTGATGCTGGCTTCAGCGACCATTTTTCCACTCTCGTGACTCTTCAAGATAAAAACAACTGGGCACCACAAAACACTTTTCAACCAAAAAGAAACTTTAAGAAAGCAGATTGGAACACTTTTAGCAAAGAAGTGGGTAAGAAATTCCTATCCATTCCGGAGGTTTTCAACGACTTTGATTTGTTTTTTGACAAAATAAACAATTCAGCTAAACTTACAATCCCAAGATATAAATTGAATCAAAACAAAAAGCCCAAGTTAATGG